ATGAATGAGCTGGCTCCAAGAGCCCTTTGATTTTATCGCGCGATAAATGAAAAATTATCGCGCTATAATTTTTCATTAAAATTCATCATCAAATTCAATTTTATCGCGCGATATTTCACATTCAGCGTGTGCGTGATATTAGTCACGCAGTCAACACAGTAAGATGACGTTGCTAAGGTATGCTTTGAAAGGACTTTTACTCCTTGGAATAATACATTTATCCAGCGCTTTATTACCGCCTTACGTTGGCAATGGCTTGCCAAATACTTTCCAGAGGAACTATATCATTAATCACTACTTTTCTCTTGATCTGGCTTAATCAGAGATCCTCGCTTTTCTTTTGTGTTTTCATGGAATTGAAATAAGCTTGCGCCAGCTGAAACGAGTGCTTAGGCGTCAGGGTCTTCGTAGAAGAAAAGATCACAGTGACATTAGCGAAATTTTAAACGCGATTGAAACTGAACTTGAAGGAAGTGGAAACAATATTGGTTATCGTCAAATGCACCAGCGATTAAGAATTGACTACGGTCATGTTGTTCAGAAGGAGACCGTACAAGTTATAATTAAAGAATTGGATCCTGCTGGTGTACAGTCACTATCATCAAAGCGATTACGAAGGAGAGAATGCCGTAGTAAAGGACCAAACTACATTTGGCATACAGGTGGTTAAAAAAAGCTCAAACCATTTGGGTTTTGGACATATAGGACATATAGGGCTATCGATGGTTACAGCCAACGTATTCTTTGGTTAGAAGTTGGTCGTACAAACAACAACCCAAAAATAATTTCTAACTATTTCACAGACTATATTCGTCAAATTGGAGGAGTCCCGAGGATATTGCGTGCAGATGCGGAAACAGAAAATGTGTATGTCGCGGGAATAAAACTGTTTCTGAGGTCAGAGTGCGAAGATGCATTTTCATGTGATAAAAGTTTCTTGTACGGAAAGTCGGTAAGAAATTAGAGGATAGAAGCTTGGTGGTCTTCTCTGAAGAAAAGTGATATAAACTGGTGGATCGACTTTTTTAAAGACATGAGAGATGAGAGTATCTTTTACGATCGTGACCCACTTCATTTAGGATGCTTAAGATTCTGTTTCATGCCTTTGATTCAAGGAGAACTCAACAAAGTCGCCATACACTGGAATCTGCACAAGATAAGACCTTCGCATAATGTAGAATCCTCTTCTGGCCGACCAGATTTACTCTATTATGTTCCTGCATGGACAAATGCTACAGATTACCTGACAGAAGTGGACCTAGATGACATTAAACTGATTGATGGTGTATGCTGCGACAAAACAAGCCCCACATATTGTTTGGAGGAATGCATAGAATTGATTGACATAATTATGCAAGAACAACATTGGCAAGTGCCTTCAACTGCTCTAGAAGCCCGTAACCTTTTCTTGGATCTAGTTTATCTCATCGACAACAGTTAGTTCAGTTTTTGTAAGACTTTTTTTCCAAGGGGAAAAAATTACACTCGAAAACCTAGCCCTATGTGTCCCCAACGCCACCCTCCGAGAATTCAACCCCCCCCTCCCCCTCCGAAAGGTCCAGGATATTTAAGCAATGACAATGAAACTTAGAGGGCACATAGTATGTCAAAAAATTTATATTTTGCTATAGGTCACGTGGGATGATGACGTCACACCACGTGGGAATTAATTAGCCCCCCTCGGTCTCGATACGATCAAACGCAGTTTACATTTTAAGCGAACTGATGAAAGTTTATTTCAGGATTTTAATGTAGCACAACAGTATAACTCATGCAATCATCAAAAATTTATCACAAAATATAAATAATATAAAATTTCCACGGGCTCGGATCGCAGTCTATCATATGAAAATTAGACTGAACATGTAGTTAACTAATAATTTTATAAAACGGTTTAATTTCATTACCAATTAAGGTTTTTTTAAAACGTATCATTTTTATAAAGTTCCAAATAGTTTACTTTCACTCTTAAAAATCAAACGTCATCAAGCCTTGTATAAATTGCCAACACTTACGACAGTTTCAGTCAGTGCTATATAAATTATTATTATTATTATTAATTAAGCGTCAGAATTTCAATTCCTTTCAAATCTAGAAGCTATAACCGGAACGGTAACACTAAAAAAAACTCTAAAACTTCCTTTCATTATAATTTCGTTTAGTTATAAGTATACTGCGAGTAATACTGATAGTAATAACGCAATTTATGATCTTCTCGTTGGTTGGTTTGCCCCGTGCAAACATCTCCAGAGGGCAATCTGGAGACGAAACCTCGCGGTGAAGCGCTGACAACGGTGTGCTCCAGCTGTCTACAATACATCTCGGACATATTAATACCAACTCTTTGTGGGCAATCTCCAAGACGACATCTTTGACTTTGTTTCGCTTTGGAAACAGACTTGCATTCAAAACGTTCCAGAAATCTATAACCATTCGTTTTCCTGTTCTCCATTCAGAGAGAGGTTAACCAGTTCTCTTTCGCCACTACTGAGGTATGCCAGGAATGATTCCAACAAAAGATCTTCTTTTACAACTTCTTCACCAAAGAGAGAGGCTGTTGTAAAGGCTTTGCCTAATTTAATTAGAAAAAAACCAACTTGTTGATATCCTTTGACAATTCTTCTGACTATGGCCTCCCACTCAGCAACCTGCAAATCGTGCCTGATGACTGGAACTCTCTCATCTTCGCCATTAGTGCACAACAGTCATAAAAAGAGTTCCAAAACGCAGAAAGTGCATCAAGGAAAACGCCGCTATTATCCAGCCCGTCTTCTTCTTTTTCAAACGAATCGACCATGACCGTGTTAAAAGAGGTGTCAGCAACAGCTATGTCTTTAAAAAGACTTATCATATCCTTCATAAACGTAATTTCAATGGAATTGGATCGTCTCTCATGGTTTCATGAAAAGGACTTTACCTTTCACATCCCCTATAGGTAAGGACGGGTTTATCACATCGCCTGGTGCAGTGCAGAGGGAGAAGTAAACTGGAAATAACTATAGCGAGCCAATCCAATCGTACACTGCAGCCATTGCTTGGTATGGTTTGGAAGCTCGCTTAACCATTCCCAAGTCGATATGACGCACGTGAATGACAACTTGTGGTTCATCTATGCCCGGTTCCTCCAACACTCTACCTAATCGAGCGGCATGAATTCCTTCGACCTTCCTAGCTCTGCGAATTTCTTCCATCAACGCTTCTTCTTTCTGTTTCTTTTTTTGCGCGGTCGATGCGTAGGCTTTCTTCGTACTTTTCATCTTGCGTCTCTTTGAGTTGGGCCCGTTCTTGCGAGCTTCCTAAAAGCCTGGAGTTCCTCACCTCGGAGTACGACTCTCCTACTTTCGTCTCCTCCGATAGAAGTTCTTTTGTTTTTGTTTTCAGATACAGGCGAACACGGGTAAGCTTGTAGAGATTGAAATATGACTGAAGGGAGAATTCTGTCTCTTTCTCTTCAGGGATAATAAGCTTATCAATCTTCTCACCGTTAAAGTTAGCTGGATCGTAATCCATTTCAAGCCATCTTCCAAACGCGGATCCTCCTCGAGTTGCGAGCCTCGTCAATAATTTTGGACGTCCTGCTGATCCCAGGCAACGAAATTGACCTCTTTTCACTCCCAGTAGATTGTCTTACTGCGAGGTATCTTTCCCTCTCCTCCAAGAAGTGCAGCCAGCCAATTTGGAACTTTCGCCATCGTGGCTTAATGTTGGAACTAGAGGAAGCTATTTTGCTCTCCGACGCAGAACCCTTGACACGTGATCCCTTAGTTGAACTCAGTTTTTCAATTAAATGTTGTTTTTACTTCTCCATGTCCTTCTTTTTCTTTTCTTCCCTTTCACAAAACATACCGGGAGCGCACAGGTCGCCTTTTGTCTTTAACCCCAGCTCTATCAGGAAGAACTCAGGGCAATATATTACAGCAGAACCGTCCATCTTAAATACAAATACATAGCCATTAATAATAACGATAACGAGGACAATAATTATAATGTACTCATGATTTTCAAAATTTCCACAATCATATTGCTTCCGTACTTAACGTAAAAAAGGAAATAGAGCATGGAATCAAGGAGTTCGTGACGAGTCTAGCCTCTACACGCTGGGGTTTTTAAGGGATCGCGTTACATTCTTCTCCACAACTATAATACTGTAAGGGGGTCTCTAACGTGTCACGCAATCGTTCCGAAAAAAATTCCTTTCATTCTGTACTTGTTCTTTTGATTTTTTCCTCGGCAATTTAATCACAAACTCTCGTGGTGAGCATGGTTATTTAAGAGCCCTATTGAGCTAGTACATGGGTGTTCAGTGCTTTTAATACATATTTATTGTGTTTACAAAGTGACTGCTATGATAAGAAAATTGTGCAACACCTTTCGCCATTAAACTGATAACAAATCCATTGTAGATTTCCGAGTTCGTTTACTCCTTACGCTTCATCATTATTTTTACAAAATGAATACTGCATTTCAAATATTTGTGGATCAACTTAACTCCTGCCTGAAAACCTTCAGCCAGAGGTGACCGTTAAAAACTAATTGGTTAAAGTTGAGTACGTTATATACAGCTATCATTCTCCCCTTTTGTTCCCGAAACCTGACAACAACGTTCTCGTCGACACATATACCTTCTAGAAATTTACAAAACTGCAACTATTGACCTCAAAACATACCTTCCCAATTGTGACAGCCATTGTGGTACTTTGAAACAACATGTGTGACAGCCGATTACGTGACCTAACAAGTACTCATTTATTGCGCGATAAGTTATCATCTATCGCGCGATAATTTCCATTTTTCGCGCGATATTTTGATTTCATCGCGCGATAAAAAATGTGGCATGTCCTCTATGGGCCACCGAAGCCACCGTAGCAAACTTCTATGGTACCTGCGTAGATTGAGGCTAGGCGGGGGATAAGTTTCTATAGAGGGCTTGATTTAAATTGTTTTCAAGTGATTTTTTTTTTATTCATGAACAAACGATATAGCATTTTTTTAAAGATAGTGGTAGCATCCTACAAAATAAATAGTGAAACATACGTTTGTCCTGATTATTGCATTGACCGCAATAGGCTATTTCTTCACTTAATTTTTAGCTAAAGTTCATTGTTATTACAATTCCAAATAAAAGATAAAAATGCCTGAAAACTATTCTTTTATTGGTCTCAGTATTTTGTTATGTCAAAGTGTCCTCAGATCTCAGGTATTCCCCAACATCAGCTTGATGGAAACAAATGATATCTGTAGGATTTGCTCGGCGACAATCTTGTGTTGAACGAGACGTGGCACCAAAACCCTGAAAAATAGAAAAAATTATGAAGCGCACCTATTTCAAGAGATTTCCCCGTTATTTGAGAGGGAAGTACTAAAAAAAAATTATTAGGTGTATTTAAAATTTCGACGAAATCGTTCTTGTCTCACGGAATGTTTTCTCTATTACTAAATCTACTTTTGAGACAAGTGCCGTATCATATAAGCCTTGTAGATGGCCCAGCACACTTATATTCCTGGGGATCAAATGACTGCAACTTGAAAATTTTGCATAGTAGCACTCCTTGGGGTCTTAGAGGAAGACAAAAAATAGTACTTTTAAGTCAAAATAGTAGCTTTCAGACCTTTATGGAGAAATTGTTCTACAAAAATGCCCTAACACAAAGATGTTCTACCACAAAAATTCCCTTATCATGTTTGATGTGCCTTTGGTGAGTGAAATTAGTAGGAGCCACACCCATACAACTGAATTTAAAGGTTTTCTTTCACGACTCACTAACCCTTTACACCCTAACATCATTATGCTTTTCTCCATACTGTTCTCTATACATTTCCTAGGTTCTGATGAGGAGAATTTGTAAAACCATCAAGAGCTTCATTAGTTGCTAATCATTTCCTTTATTCTTGTGACTTAAACATTTGATTCAAGGGATAGATTGTTAAGAGAAATTAGAACCTTGTCACTCTTTAAAGGGTTAACTGTGCTATATTTTCACATGTTTAGAGAAATTCCATCCCATTTTGATACATGCATACAAAATCTCCCTGCAAGATGACATTCTTTTTCACTCACCAGTGGAAGGTCATTCATAGAGTATACAATAACTCCTTGGTACTGTGGTGTGTTTTCTGTTATCCTCCCAAGGCCAGACTTCAAAACATGATTCCCATAGAGAAAAGACTGCTCTCCTGCTGGCTTCACCCAGATTTTATACTAAAAATGAAGAATATAACCATCTTCATTCCAATACATACATTCCAATGTATAAAAACTATATTCACTATAAATACAATGGAACCCTGTCTTATGGCCACCTTTGGTAATACAGTCACCTCATTGTTATGGCCATTATTTCATCGCTGGGAAAATAGCCATAGATTTTTGTATAAAAAAAAAAAACACTTGTTAATGGCCACATTTAGAGTCCCAAACAGAAGAATTCTTTATAATTTCATCCCACAAAATTAAGAAAACAAAAACGCCTGAAACATGTCAATTTCATTGATCTCTGTCATTTACTAATCAGACAGCCAATTTACTTTACAAAGTAAGCAATGCTCCTCCCTGTTTTCATTACAAACATGATGAAAGGATTATTGCAATTATGAAGTTTGATCCTGCCCCAATAAAACACCCACGCTTTTAACCCTATAATTCCCAGAATTGAATAAAATGTGACACCCCCCCCCCCAAAAAAAAAAAAATCCATATGTAATCCAGCAAACATGCAATGAGAATAATAAGTAAAGTAAAAAAGTAAAAACTTTATTCACACAGGGTAGCCCATTCAGCTCTAAGGCTGGTATCCATAGGGGCCCTGTTTCTTAAAAACAATTTACATCAAAATTCTCAATTATATATATACATGACTAGAATTTTAAAACTACATGAACAGCCTAAGACTACAAAGCCAAAACACAATTAAGACCTAAAATAGTAGATAAAATATCAGCGTTAAGATAAAAAGAAATGTCTTGCTTGGTGGCGAGAAGAAAATAAAACTTATCAGGTTAAAGTTGTTATCTTGATCTAACACTAAATTCTCATGACTAATTTAGAAGGAAATGTGTAGAAGCTAGAGGGGAGAATTAACTATCAGATTTTGGGAGTTAAAGGGTTAATGTGGCCAATTCATTTGCACCCATTGGCAACTGTCCTAGTAGGTTTCCACTGTACAATCTTTTTTGAGAGCCCAAAGAAGTACATGATTTCATGTAACATGTTACAGCTAATAATAACAAACATATATCACCTCTTATTATGTGAACTGCAGTGGTAATTACTTACCTTGGCATATGGTGCCATGAAATCAAGTGCTGTAATGTGAAGTCTGAATTTTCTTGTCTTTGTAAACTTCCCAATACATGTTCCAATACTTATTAGGTTTTCTCTGGCTATATTTGTGGCTTTTCTCATGATTTCTTCACTGAAAACAAAAATAAATTACAACTATGAGTCAACAATTTGGAAAAACAGGGAGTTGTTAGAGTATTTTGACATAAGCATCCTTGTTTTTAAAAGAACAGGAATATAAGACAGACCTCTCCCTTTTCTTTTTAATAAAGAATAAAAGAAATATTTCAACTGAGCAGACAGCCACAAACATAACTTAGTAGGTAGTGATTTTCTTACCACTGGTTGCTATTTCTGAAAAGATTTAACACTTGTAAAGTCTTGCACATGCATGCATGCATGTACATTGGTGACTGACATGACTCAGTCCCAAAAAAATTTTGTTTACACAACTGAATCATGACTTGATGCACTAGTCAGCCTACAAATTATCAGACCTCTTTATTTTGTCAGTTCAAATATAATCAATTTTCAACAAGACGCATGAAGGAAGTACGGTATACGGTATACGGTATAGTAACTTATACTTTATCCTTTTCGTTGATAATTCAAAAGTAGCTAGGGCCAAGTCTTCTCTATAGATAGTTTGATTTGCCAAGTGCACTGCACCAAATAAAACCCAAATAAGTTCCTGGGGTTAGTAATCATGGAAATGTACGTAAAATGTAAGATACCCTGCTGCTTAGTTCAAAAAAATTCTCCTTAACTAATAGGAACCAGACTTTGGATTTAAACAAAGGAAACCTTCCTGATCTTCCATCTGGAGCTATTTATCACCAAAAAAATTAAATTTCAAACCACTTGTGCCATGCAGCTTTCAGTAAGTAAAAATATATTATCAATATTATCTTGGCTATGGCCACAAACAAAAACTGTTCATGTGCTTAATAAATATAAGCGTTGCTCTTTTTTTTTGTCCTAACGCATCATCTACTTACCTTACATAGTAGACTCGGTCATCATGCAATCTAAAACAATAATTTCCATCTGGTCTGTCGATGAGAAGTTTTATATTATCCCCAATACTACAAAATGAAAATATATACACAGTTAGCATCGTCATATTACGGCCACTGGAGTAAACCTCTTTTTAAACCTTACTTTGTGATGGGATAATTAAATTAATCACGAAGGTACAAATTAAAAAGGGTGTACTCACTATTTTGCCAGCTTTTCAAACACACTTTGGGTTTCTTCCTCTGTTAAAGGCCTCATTCCAAACTGTTTATTTCTTGCACGGATATTCACGTGGATATCTAGTTTTCTTTCTCTTTTTCGTGAAAGTAGATTGGTCAGCGGTTAAACCAAAAGCCAGGTTACATGAAGTCCCCATAGCAACGATGTTTAAAGTTCCTCAAATTCCAAAACAGTGACTATAGCTCCGGGCTGACTTTTGGCGATTTGTGGAAAATTAATTAATCGCGACACTTTAAATCAAACAACGCAAGTTTAAAAACATTGGCGGATGGTATCATGATTCCTCTAGAAAGTACAACAGCTATTTTGCCCAGGATGCCAACAGGACGGACAATATCTGGCGATTTCCCCTTGACAATCATCAAACCTCCAATTGTTGATGTCAGATGTAGAGCAAGTCCATCGGCAATTTCCAGTCCTATCATCCGTCTTTTGCGAAGTAGAAATCAAAGAAGGAATAGCTCAGCATCGTCTGTACGTAGTAACTGCAGTAGAAGGACCGAATACGAGGAGTTCTTGCCGGAGAGAGTTGAGGTTGTTGAAGTAGAAAATGGTGCACCGCAAAATATGCAAATCAAGTCAGTATTCCGCGCGCATAAACAAAGTTGTTGCACTTCGCCTGATAATATTTGCAACTGTCACGCGATTTCTTCCAGGCGAGGTAGTTTAATTTCATCTGCTACAGAACGCCGTATAAACTCACAGGACGAACCATTTGGTAAGGAAAACAAGTTTATTTTGCTGCCAAAGTACAGCTTATTGCATTTGATCTTACTACCGGTAATGATTGAATTAACAGATCTCCCAACTAACCGCCATTCGTTGCTTCAAATGCCAGTTATGAGAATTTAGTCTTTTCACGTTTATCAGGGTGTTGACTATCCTACTTCATTACTGAGCTGATTATCACAAATATATTGATACTTGAAGTTTAAGCAGCTCTGTTAACCTGCAACTCCCATGATCCCATTGTTAATCCTCCCCTCTGCCTGCTTCACATTGTCTTGTAAATTGGTTAGGAGAATTTACTGTTTGATCAACATAACAACTTCTACCTGATACGTTTTAGGATTCTCATCACCTATTTGCTGGATGATGTTTTGATACTGACAGAAGAAGTTACATGGTATCAAGAATTAATGGATATTATTGATTTCAGGTGATAGTAAAATCAATCAGGATGAAAAAGAACTACTGCCATTAAGAACATCAGCTGTAAAAATCAAAGAAAATGAAGACAATCATGAAAAGCAAATCAAAGACAATGAAAACTTTCAACTGATAGAAAGGAAACTAAATAACAGTGATCCTGTGGTAGATGAGAAAAACAATGATACTTGTGACTTTGCTGTAGTGGAGAATATTAAACAAGATGATAATGCTGTTGAGATGGAAATCAAACAGAATGAGGAGAGTGTATGTGAAAAGACAAACAAAAGAAGTAGAAAAAAGTGGAGCAAATCAAAATCACCCAGGAAAAGAAAGAACTCATTAAAAAAAGGTTCAGGAGGGTTTGGATTATTTACCAGACTTGCCAACCCAAATAAACAAAAGAAGCACCCAGGTATTATTTAATATGTCATTTAGTGCTTAAACTAGTCTTCATAGCTTTACCCTGGAAAACTTTGTTGTAGATTAAGCAATTTTCAAGAGTTAAGCAGGAACGGTTGTGAGGGTTGAATAGCTGTCATAGTAAGTAGTTACTGAGGAAATTGCAAGTTTGGCTATGAAAATCAGAGTTACAAGATGTTGTCAGCTGCAGGGATATTAGTTTCTAGACTGGATCTGCAGTTGAGCAATTTTGCCTCTGTTGCAATGAATTACCCTGATTTTGTTTGGTTGTTAAAACTTCTTTCTACATTTAGTTTCCAACTAATTAAATCACTATTTTATTTGAGACTTAGGACTGACTTCAGTCATGTTCTAAATTACAGGTCTTCAATTAAATTCCAGAGAAGAAACAACGAGGACAAATTCTCACCAATCAAAAGACAATTCCACAAAATACTTAAGCATACAAAAACTTCATGCAACTTATGCACCAAAGAAAGGCAACAAGAGTAATTCTAGTGAAAAGAACACTGGTGACAGAATCCTTTTGCCTAAAGTACCCAACACCAATTTACCTAATACATCAAGTTCAAGCATGCTTTCTCCAAGGAAACAACAACAAGAATTGGAAAATACCTCTTTATTTTCTCCTATGTCATCACCACGGAAATTATGGAACTCTGAAGATAATAGAGTGAAGAAGATCTACTTATCTGAAGCACACTCAGGAATGATAACAGGAGTACCATGTGCTCCACCATGCACACCTTCAGCTGGCGAGTATTAAATAATATTTAGTATCATAATTCTACTAAACAGTGTACTATCAAAAGTTCTCTAATCTGATTGGCTACTCCTTATCTTTTAACATATGCATTCCAATTTTCAGTGCTTCTCCTCAGTAACAGTTAATATCAAATGTGGCAAGAATGGAAAAGTGGCATCTATGGCACAGCTGATTATGAGTGTATTACTACTTGTTCTGACTGCATGCGAATTATATACACATGACTCCAATTCTATAATTTAATCCAAACTAAAGCAAATGAATGATAGTACAATAGCATGAGGATTAAACTAAAAACAAATCTTAATTTTTGCAACTAATTGATCTGACATTCAACCGGTCACTCAATCAGTTATTTAACCATTCAATTGGTTACCAAATAATCAAGTGAATTTAGCTGGGTGCTGATTTTTAAAACAAAAGTGTAAGTACCAATGTCTGTATTTACTCAGTTAAGCACCCCATGCCCTTATTAATTCTTGGATCTTGAGAGTGTGGGCTTATTTGACCCTTGACACTTATTTACACCCACAGGATGGACATTTGATTGAGGTTGGGCACTTAATTAATTTAAAAATGGTGGTTGAATCTTTTATAATCTATTAGCATCTGTTGTCTTGTTGTGTTTTAGATGAACTAAAGAAAGTGGAATATATTCCTTCACTGTCAGATGTAAAGGTAAATTTCTGTATTAACTAATAGCATTTTTTAAATGCATATCAGCTATATTTATATTGCTAAAAAAGGTTGAAAATAGTAATCATGGCAAATGTACTTTCAAAGATGTACAATTGTTGGCCTTACAAGGTTGTCACTTCCAATGTAAATGTGGCTAAGTGCCTGTAAAAGACTGCAGCATGAAGTGTCGCAATCCATCACAAAGTGACTAAATTGTGAGACAAACAATTTCACTTCATTACAAATTATATTTAATATTAGGTCAAAGTTGTCCAGTACCAGAACCCATGTTATATTTTGTAGTTTTTTCTTAAATGGTGTCTGAAATGAACACTTGTATCTTTTGTTTTTGTTATTCCAGAGTCAAAGAGTAGTTAAAACAAGACTGATAACAATAGGTAAGTGAACAACCACTTGAATGACAGATCAATCATGAATGAGTTTCAAAAGATGGGAAACATGGTAACTGTTATTTTAACCCATTCATTATTAAATTTCCTTTCTTTCTATTGGAAACTTTTTAGAAAATCAGAGACAGTTATCATGCAATAACCCCTGTCTACATCAATAATTGTCCTCTGATTATTTGCCTTGGAAAGAAGCCAAACCAGTGGAAAAAGCCAGCTCAAGAGTTTCAATTTTTCATGTTGTCCTTTGCTCTGGAAAGTACAAAAAAAAATGTAATTTAGAGATTTGCTGTCAATGTGCAATATGAAAATTTATGGGAAGTTATAAAATAAATAAAATTCCTTTTTGCCTGGTGGTATTTTGGCTGATAGTGTCCCTGGCTGAGAAATTGTCCTCAAAATTTCACATTTGCACTTAAAACTTTGCTTCTGGGCAAACTATTTTTTGTTTTAGGAAATAAACTGAGAGCTGAAGAACAAAAAAGTACAGTGTGCCCATTTAGATGAACTAAAAGTGTATTTTTTGTTTTAGGAAATAAACTGAGAGCTGAAGAACAAAAAAGGAAAGAGAAGGCAGCTAAAGAAGAGCAGAAAAGAGCTTATGGTGCAATTTTACAACTTAAACAAAGGCAGAGAGCTGAGGTACTGTTGCTGAATATTGATTAAGAAGTAAACCTATGCTATGTAACATAAAACAACGACACCATACATTATAACTGCTGACCTTTCATGGCCCAGAACGTATCCATAACCTTTGTTGCTGTTTTAAGAACCTTAATTTTAGAATGCCATAATTTGGTGTGGGCTTCTTTCAACATTTGAAGAAGTTTCAGAACAATGGATGGCTGCTTCAATCTTGATATGAACTATAGAATAGATAAATTTAAATAAAATATGTTGTCTTCCTCATTTCCACAGATTTATGCCTTAAATAAGGTGATGACTGAACTAGAGAATGAGAACTTCAGAAAATTCATGGAAGAACATTCAGCAGATACACTTCCTGTGTGATGATAATAACATAAACTAGACTCTCTCAAATCATGAGCCAACCTGCTCTCTACGTTAACTAACAAAAGATATTCTCACTTCAAGTTATTAGTTTAAGTAATGAAAATTTTTATGGTCAATGTGGATGGAAGAAATAGATATGGCTAAACATAAAAGCCTAAACTCCACAATTTTTTACTTTGCAAAGATAAATACTGAAAAAAAATTATAGATAATAATGCTGTCTATCAGACAAAGGAAATACACATTTTAGTAGCTCAATATTTATTTTTTGGTTGATATTATTTGATGATATTGATGAGACTGTTTTGTAAGTTTTTCCCTTTTTTGTTATTTAATTAAGATCTTACTATTTACTACACTATAACAATAACCATGATATTTTTCTAGGTAGTTGTAAAAAAGATTTTACAATTTTCATGGGATAACATTACCTTTCATTCTTTTTTAATGAAAATGTGTGCAAATATACTTATTATGTAAACATCTGTGTTAACCCTTTAACTCCCAAGATCTCATTTGTAATTCTTACTGTTTGTCATACAATTCTTGTAATGTTAGTTAGGAGAATTTGGTATTGGATCAAGTTATAATCCCCTTACTGATATTTTTCTTTATTCTCATCACTTGTCTGCTTGATATTGTATTGATATTGTAAGGAGAAAATCTGTCTTAAACAAAAAGTACATCATCAAGAAGTTGATGAAACTCACTTTCTTCTTAACCAACTCATACACAATCCAAACAGGTTTTTTTTTCATGCATTTGTATTTTCTATAAATATTATTTATAGATATTTTTAATTGCTGGCAAAAGTGAAACTCAACAGATGCTTTCTCTGAAGAGTTTTGTTTTCAATAGTAACATTTGCAGTGTTATTAAATAGTGCAATTGCTGTAAGTTGTTAGAAAGTCCAAATACAGGTTGGAGAGACACACGCACATGTATCACTTACTTAATATCTATCCCCATAGTAATGTGTATATTTTCACCTTGACTTATCAGGTCATCAATTGTCTGTCATTTCATTATCAGATTAAAATATCTCATAGTGACAGGGAAGTAGTGTATTGATCAAATATCCAAGGCCCAGTTCAGATGTTGTGCTTCTGCCAAGTGACAAAAGCACAGTAGAGGCACAGCATCTGAATCAAACTTTTTAATTAAGTCCTGGAAAGTAATTAAGTTTGACAAACTCTGCTGTGCTACATGGCTCAGTGATTCAGACGTTGTTCCCTTGCTGTGCCAAACAAAATTCTTCAATTATACTAATGTATTTTGGCAAGATTGTGTTACCATGGGAGAGTCACAAAAATAATTCTCCCTTAGTAAATGCTGAATTTTGAACTACATTAACCTGACGTCTGAATCAGAGTCGTGCTTTCCCCTTGCTATAGTTGAACCTTATTAAAATTAAGTTTTGCTTGGCAGAGGCACAACATCTGAACTGGGCCTAAACTAACCTATTTAATTATTAATTCATGTGTCTGAGTTCCTCGCATGTTTTCTTCTACTTTTTCATTCTTTGTTACACAGTTGGAAAACAATTCTAATATCTAAGTTAAATTTTAAGTTTTGATCCCCTTCTGTCAAGAAGATAATTAATCTGAGGATGATAACATAGCATTTTACATTTTATGTTCCTGAAAAAGAAGGAGGCTTCACCATTGTTAGAGTCAAATTTTCAACCCTGCCGTTGGCTTTAAAAACAAAACACAGAGAAAAATATTTTTTTTATGTTTGACAGAAATATTGCTCTAGAAATTAATGACTACTGACGAAACTTAGGTCAATTCATTCCTGTTAGACAAATATTTATGGTTTCGGTTTTGCGACATTCAATATTCATTCACTTTCTGAAGACAGCAAACAAATACTAAATCATTATTTAATTATTAAAACAGACGAATATAACATCACTAATAGTGCGCTTGTTTCTGAAATTGGATCTTCAAAGCCAATTTACCATCGCTAGAAGCCCAAATTAAAAGGGGTAATTTAAAAACCAATAATGGTAAATGTAAGGATTCTGCCAGGACGTGTTCTGCCAATATGCCTGAGGCACAAGGAATCGTTTTGCATTGGTGTGTATCTTTTAACTTATTTAAAGGACGCCAATTTAAGTGGTAATGGATTGTATTGATATCAAACGTACCTTGAAAATTTTACGATCCGAGTCAGTGGCTCAATGGCGTCAAAACCTGTCAATATTTGAAAACTTGGTAAATTTCATTCCAAATTCTATATTCCCGGGTAAATGTGAAAATTTTACTCGAATTTCTAAGAGACCACCTGATTGGGTAAAGTTTAGCTTAGTGGCCTGGCTGGCAAAAAAAAACCAATCACTAAAGGTGTCATAACTTAACCATTCAAGCCTCGTTTGTGTGCTATCTTTACCAACGCCCCTGGGAAGTGATCAAAATATTACAACATAATTTGTGAATTTTACACAAGTTTTCAGGCCAAAGCTGGTTCGTGAGGCTTTCTGGTGCATAGCAAGACGTTTTTGTTTTGTGGTAGGTATACCTTTTCTCGTACGTACGACCTTCTTCACCTTTTTAGACATGAATTTGGAATTTGACTTTTGAAAGATGCTTTAGTTTAATGGATCATCAGCGAAATTTATTTCATCTGCAGTGCATGCAGTTTGTTTTTCTGCACAGCTGGTAATATTTGACTGTGCTTTGGGGGATTCTTCTTTTTTTGCATGGATTTGTAAGACAGAGGTTTCATTCGCGATGTAACGACTAATTCTTCAAATGATTTAGCTTGTGTTGATGTTGAAGTCTGATTACAGGCTTAGTCGTGTAACTCTGTAAGTCACAGACAGCACGATCTTTCATTCCAGAATACCTGATCATGATAATTCCTCTGTAAGTCTTAACATCTTAGCCCCTATAATCTTCCTGTGGCTTTTATCTTCACGGTCGCTCTACTTCTTTCGTGTTTCCTCATCGGCTCATAATATCCTCCTTGATGTTAAATCATGCATGCATGTATTTGCAAGCTCGTCTTTAGAACCAGCTGCCTGAATGTATATTATACTAAAGAATTAACCTAGAATTGGCGCACTTATGGAAATTATTCACCCACTCTTTCAACACCTCATCACAAAGAAACCACACATTTTGCAGGCTCTTAGACTGTAATAAATTCTAATGGATCATGTGAACAATGATCAAGATTTCTTAAAAATTATGTAGAAAATTTTTAGAACTATCTTCTGTATTTGCAATGAACTCAACAATAGATCTACCTTCCAGTAGACTTTCTACCCTAGGTCTTCAATGAATAATGAATTATTTTAAAAAGTTCTACTTGTATATCACAGACAATAAACTATAGTCCCTTTTTTGACGATCCATGATAAATTGTGAAATTTTAGATCCGACTCTCATTTCTCTTGCTAAAATCAGTAAGTTTTTGAACACTTGATAATGTATGAAAAAAATAATTTTGTCAACAAGGAGATGTTGACTTTAATAAGCAAATTGTTTTGCCTAGACCTTTAAGAGTGAATGTTGAATTAATGTGTGACATTTCAGTGATAAAGAATCAAGTTATGATTTTTAAATGAAGATCCAAAGACTGAGAACTGTCATCATGTGGGGTGCTTTACACTACCCCCCATGTTACTTGCTCAAGAGTGCCAGTTAGTGTGAAAGAGCAAAAAAATAAAAGCAGGTGACCAGATTATCTTGGATACCATTTTGTTACATCAGATAGGCGCAAAATACAGGGAAATATTCTGTTTAAGTGTTCTACGTGTACCATGAAGTTTGTACCAGCCTTTGAATTCAGAGGGTGAAATTGAGCCACCCTTTTTGGCCTGTTACTGGTAAATTATGCTTTCAATTCCACTCAAAACTGGTAAATGGCTGCTTAAGGCTGAAATAATTTCTTGGCTGGTACCATTCATGTTTTTAAGTCAAACCTATTTTTGCTCTGACACAAAATTAATCCATTTTGGTTAGCAAACATCCATTATGTGATATCTCAATAAAATCCCCAACCCTTTTATATTTGATTTATATGTGCAGCCTGGAACTCAATGCAAGAAAATTGATACAGTCATATTTACAATGGATAACCTGAATGTTGCTCAAAATTAATGTCTTCTCTACTTGCATAATTGTCCAGTCATCCAAGGAGGTGACCAGACAAGACTTCTATATGATTGGGCATTGTCTGTTGATTGGCTGTTAAATTTCAAGCCCTGGCTGGTATACAAATTCTTATCAAAGTTACATCAATAATTTTGCAATTTTCAAAAGAATCAATAGTCTTTTTGCAATTGAAAGCAAACATATAATTAGTCTTCTGCCTCTAAACAATGTACCTAGGAATACATTATTTGTGACTGTACATTTCTTTTTATTTTTTTTACTTTTTTGTGCTTAAAGTTTTCATTTAGTGATAAATCTAGATGATAATTGATTGAATTCAATCAGCTAGTGACCTTGAACTGCTCACACGGCTTGTGTTTTTTATCAGATTGTTAACAATCAAAACAATTCATAACAGTGTTGGGTTTTCACCAAAATTCAAATATCTTTGTTTGTACAACCATGCACAATACAAATGCTTTAGGGAGAAATTCCATGTTAATCACTTTTGGGAGTTAAAGGGTTAAAAGAATAAAGTGTCATTACTCATTTTCTTGTTACTCTGTTAATTGTTTCTTTGTTACCCTGTTTAGTAATACCCTTGTCATAGAGGGAAGCCCAAGTAAAGGCCACTTACTTACTTACCTCTTGGTTATTTAATCATTCATCTGATGTATCTTGTTCTGGAAAGAAACAGGGCAAGGTCCATACAAGTATCTCTTCAATAGCTTTAATGGGTTTTTGATAAATATGTTTTCTGTTTACATTTAGGGTATACTTCTGCATTAAAAACCCCACAAGTCTGAATATTGTTGTTGTGACAGCAGTATGCAGACCATAAAGTGTGTCGTAGTCGGTGATGGAGCTGTAGGAAAAACCTGTTTATTGATTTCCTACACAACAAATAAATTTCCAAGTGAATATGTACCCACGGTAAGTTTTCTTCTCTCATTATGGAGTTAAGCAGGTTGGATTAGAAATTTTGGAGTAGGTTTCTTTGTGATGTTGCTTAAACTTTGCTGTTCACTTGCTTAAAAAAGGTGATATACGATTACAATGTGGGTTACAGCACTGTACCAATACCAATACTCTACTGTGCAGACAGTTGCTGAGAATAGAGAAAAATATAAACTACTGGATAATGCGATATCTCTTGGTCAGCCTGTGCATTATTATTGGTCAATTTAGCAGGTCCTATTTCACTGTACCACTCACTAAATTCAAGCGTTTGAAATGTTCCCCCTCTATTTGAACCCAGAGATATAATGAAAATCTTTCTAACCCCATAATGTTGGGTGGCATTGTAAGTTACTGAACTTTGTTTTTTCCTCTTGGATTTATGGCCTGCACTTGGGCCAGAAATACCAGTGGAAAAAACATGGTCTGTGACTTACAGTACAGACCTGGAACCTGGTTAGTAAGAGGTTTTTCAATTTTTACATCAGACTCTCAGAACTGGGAGGTGAGAGGTTCTCATCCTTTAAACTGCCTCTCCCCTCCCTCCCCTCATTATTTTGATCAGGATGCTCTAATTGGCCTCCAAGCATTACATCATAAAGTTCTTTTGATGTTATTTTGGACAACCCATTGACAAGCAACTTATCAGTCTTTGTTGTGTTCCAGGTGTTTGATAATTATGCAGTCACTGTTATGATTGGTGGGGAGCCATTCACATTAGGGTTGTTTGATACAGCAGGTAAGGTCACTTTTAACCCTTTAACCCAAGAGTGACCAGCATCTAATTTCTCCCTATGGTATCACCCTAGCATCAAATATCAACTGTTATGAGAATAGAGGAAATGATCACCAACCTAAAAAGCTGTTGATTGTTCAGCAAATTCTCCTTGTTGGTATCATAGGAAATTTATAGGGAACATTATAGAGAATAAGCACGCTGATGTTAGGGTGTAACTGGTTAAGCCTTCTGTTGTTCACACTGACAAAGGGCAAACTCTTGAAACATCAACTTTAGAAACTCTTCATGTTGGCCAATTTACATTACCAACTCAGTTTTTCAAACCAAGTTATGGCGTACCCTCTAAAAACTCTCACCAAGGCAGAACCACTGTTTCTTTATTCATTAGTCATATCAGCCTGAAACCTAAGTGGAAATTATGTAGACATTTTCACTCTTATTAATTATATCTAACATGCTTTTTCTTTTTTACTGTCTTTAGGCCAAGAGGATTATGACCGACTGAGACCTCTGTCCTATCCGCAAACAGATGTATTCCTTGTTTGTTTTTCTGTAGTGTCACCATCTTCTTTTGAAAATGTCAAAGAAAAGGTACAATCTCTTTAGGAAGAAATGGTCACTAGGCAAGGGTAATTTATAAAATATTTCAGATAATTTGCACATCCTCATTGGTTGGTGGGTGTATTTAGATGAGAGTATGTAAATATGGTTGACATTGCCTATCTTCATTTGTCAAATTATTTTTAGCAATATATTTTTTAAAAGCAATAGAGGACTCCTTTAAACACCTCTATGTTTAAGGATGTAACACTTGTATTTTGCTAGAAAGATTTGACACTTCCAGTTCAAATTTCCCACCCTAGCCAGGTAAGGTTTTAATTCCCCACCACCAGGGGCATAGACAATGATCAAATGCCCCTGTGTTGCCCAGATGGGGATGTTGAAGCTTTGAACTGATTGCTGCATTCTGATGTTTGTTTTTGATCAGAAAAGTTGAAAGATGAAAGTTGTCAACCAATTCAGTTGAAGGTTCTTAAAAAAAATTTACTGCTACTCTTAACTTAAGATATGTCAGCAAACTCAAAGTTATTTTACTCTTTTTTTAGTGGGTTCCTGAAATCACCCATCATTGTCCTAAGACTCCTTTTCTTCTTGTTGGTACACAAGTTGACTTGCGGGATGATGCAGGAACAATAGAAAAACTGACCAAGAACAAGCAGAAACCCATAGCAGTTGAGGGTGCTGAGAAGTTAACACGAGAGCTAAAAGCTGTTAAATATGTTGAGTGTTCAGCCCTGACTCAGAAAGGCCTGAAGAATGTCTTTGATGAAGCAATTCTGGCTGCATTAGAGCCTCCAGAGCCACCAAAGAAGAAACTTTGCACTTTACTTTAAAAGGTGGATTGAATAGAGACAGTCTCAGGAAATGATCTCAACCCTTAAACTTTTGTACACCCTCACATCAGTATGCATTTTCTCTATATTATTCTTTATACATTTCCATAGTGCTGACAAGGAGAACTTGTCTAACAATCAAGAGCTTCTTTAGGTGGTGATCATTTCCTTAATTCTCATGACCTATTTGTGTGATTCAGGGGTGATATTGCAAGGAGAAATTAGATGCAAGTCACCCACAGGGGTTAAAGGGTTAACTCTGTTGAGTGACCAAGACAGAATGTCCTCCTAAAATATAAAGCAGAAAAGCAATGCGAATCGAGAAAAATATCAATCAGGAGGATTTTAGTTTATCTAATACCAAGTTCCCCAAACTAACATCATATCAATTGTATGACAGACAGGAAAGAGAATTTTTGTGAGATCTTGGGAGTTTAAGGGTTGAGAGACATTTTCCTGAATTGTGTGTACCATAAGTGACACAGAGAAATTCTATTTGAAAGTCATCTTAGTGCATTTTGAATTTTAAATTTACTGTGCTAGTTGTATTGTCAAACTCAGAAAACCTTGAAAGCTTGACCACCAAGATATTTGTAGAGTAGTACATTACCAAGGGGAAGAAAGGAATCAGAGCTCAGGTAAGGAAAGTGTTGGCAGCAGAAGTTCCTTGTTTGTTTAGAACAATTTTTTGATTGAGTGTGGAAAGTCAGTGGGATTGCTTTGGTAAACTCAACTTTGCTCTGTGATTGGTTCATTCTCTTAACCAATCAGATGCAAAACAATTGCAACATGGTCATTCATGTTCTCTCGCACTTAAAGCAGTTTGGTTGTTTCACTTTGAGTCCTTATTGGCTATAACTTTCATTCTGATAGGTCTCTGGTATCACTATTTTTTCAACACATAATTGAAAATTGCCTTACCTTCTATGTGATTGCTTGTTGCTCTATAAACATTAAATCTCCCAACAAAATATCCAAGGTGCTCAGGTTTTTCTAAGTTTGCCAGTTTCTTTCTTTCTTTTTTTTTAAATTTGATTCTTTCTTTTAGTATTCCTAATTTTCCTGTAACTACAAACTGAGTTAGTCTGGCAGTATTTTTGAGGTGAACTTAATATGTCAATTTTCTGAAAATTGGTAGGTACAAATTTGGGCTCTTTTGTGGTCTAAGAAGTGTGAAAAAGAATCAGAAAGGGTCAACTTGAAAGTTGTTGACTGATAATAGAAATGTTTATGATAATGTCCAGTGTGATTAATATTTCTAACAATTTATCATAAGGAAGTTTATTAAATATTACAAGTAGTAATAACATTTAGGCAAACTAAGCATATTTTGTAAAATACAATTTAATATTATATGTCGTGGAACATTTAAAATATATATCAACATTTGCTTTTATTGTTTCTGCACATGTCCAGGTCAACATGAAGATTTGATATGGACATGCATGCTTCAGTTCTGCATCTTCTATTTATACATGTATAATTTAACCTTTTAACACCCATATCAAATTTGTAATTCTCCTTACTGTCAACTGTACAATCGTTATAATGTTAGTTCAGAGAACTTAGTATTGGTACAACTAATTATCCCCTAATTGATATGTTTCTTTATTCTCATCACCAATTTGGTTGATATTGCATTGATATTGTAAGGAGAAAATCTGTCTTGAACAAAAAGTACATCATCAATACATAATAAGGAGAAATTCTGTTTTGGTCACTCATGGGAGTTAAAGGGTTAAAACACCTTACAGCAGAGGTAAAAGGTGAACGTTTATAAATTGCTCAATTGCTTAGAAATAATTAGAGTGCAAAAGATTTTTAAGGGTACTTTTGTCCTAAGCCCAGACAGAAGTATAGTGATGAATATGTCTTGTTTTAGGGGGGATATGTAGAATTTAACTCGCATGAAGCAAGGGAGAGGGGTGAATTTTTTTTCAACTAGAACCTTGTAAACTACTGTCACCTCTCCAAATAGAATTGGAGTGGCCTTCCCCACCTTGTATCTCTGTGTGAGATAGAAAAGAAAAGTGCCAGTGAAATACGTTTTTTTTTATTTCTAAAACATTGAAAAAGAAGAAGTTACATAAAAGTACGTAACTTAGAGGAAAATTGATATCTAAAATTAAGTATCAAAATATAAGTCATTCAATTGATTAACCACAAAATATACAAATGTTTTAATTAGGTATTACATTTTGTACGATATCGTAATTATGTAGTTTTATGTACTTTAAGAGAGCAGCAATGATATTGGATGAGAAAGTTTTAAAAAATAAAAAAATGTGAAATATCAGATAGTAGGTTATTAAAAACTTTTTAAATAGTTTTTCCTCTATTCCACTTTGCTCTTAAGGTAATTATCTGTTTACAAGGTGAACTAACATTGTGCTACAAGAAATTTCAGATTGATCTTAATATCTAACAACTGCACACCTACTGCTCTCCTAACCCAACATTAGCCCTAACTTGACGGTTGTTGGGTTAGGGGAGGGGTGGGTGCTTAGTTGCTCAGACACTGCCATTGTTCTGAACTTTCATATTTTTTGAACATATATGGGACCACAAAAATTAATTGCAAGATAATATACTTGCAAAATTCTCCCTTTTTACCATATGATTGAGGAAATACCAGATGTAAAGAATGAAAAAGAAAAACTCGAGTCAGAGTTTTGTTTTCTTAAGAGTTCAACATCCTGTTAGAGTTCTTGATATTGGAAGCTGGTCTTTTACCCTTTGCATTTGTGTTTGAGGAAATATTGTCACGTAGGGGTATCATACCAGAAAATTATGTTAATATATTTTTTTGTCTTATCATTACAAATTTATTTTTGAAGCACAGAGGTCACAGAATGAATCTGACACAATTGTAGGAAAATAAAAATGGTTCAAACAATTGGTAGGAAGTCTAAGTCGAATTCAGTCAAGAGCCAGCCAATAGTTTTCTGTACTTAAAATTTGTGGCAAAGTATCGTGAAGTACAAAGTCTGCACAGAAACGACGCATTGTATTGTGTCATTATGTTGGTATGATCATACTCCGATCAATTCAAATTTATCATAATGGTGGACTCGCGGCCTACTCACGTCCCTGTACAGCAAAACAATTACAACGGAAGAGGAAACAATCTGCAGCTCTTTTATAATTTCGGGTAAATTTAGAAGTTGCGACATAAATTTATAACGATTAGTTTGATTGGACGATAATGAGACTTGTAGCCTGGCCAGATAACAGCAGACCAATCCTATCATACAATAGAGATTTGCAGTGGTAGCCTCGTTTCTGCGTGTCAGTGCTACTCGAGGGCACCCTATCAATTCGTCAACCAACGCCCCTGGAAAGCCGGACATCTCGTTGCAAAAGTGGAATTCATGGAATAAGCGGTAGTTACAACAATTGTGAAACGCTTCTCTTGCCAAGTTTCAAGGGAGATCTAAACCGTTCAAACTCAATTACCGGTTAGTGTTATCCTTCTTGTGTGCTTCCACCGTCTTTGTAACTTGTAATTCTGGTCGTGTAATTTCATCCACTTTGGGTTTACTCGTCGAAGTCTGCCATTTTTAGGCGACATAGACGGCACCTACTTTTCCTAATGATCTGATTCTTTCGTGTGGTTTTGAGACATTGATCGACTGTATAAAGTTTTCGAGGAACGAATCAAGGATCAGTAGCGATGCTGAAGAGTAACAAGTCGTTTTAAGTTTTCAAGAAGATTGTACGGTTTTCATTCCATCGTAGTGTTACAAACCTCAACTATAGACTTCGAAGTTGTGAAAGTTTCATTCATTGTGTTCAAACTTGATGTGATCAACGTTCAGTGATGGTTTTGTCATATGTCAGCATAATAATTTCAAATCATCTTCGACTTGCTGTGTTATGTCTTAAAAATTCATCCGCGAGCCTCAAAGGTCTTTGATATTCTTCTCGCCTTTAGTTTGCTCATATCAATTCATTACAAGACATTGCACACGTCTTTGCGGTAGTAGTGTAACAATTCCTTAAATGTAGGCTGAAATTCTCCACCATAATACGCTCACTTCGCATCGTTGTAGTTTCTATTTTAGTACAAAATTTGTCGAGGCAAGCAAGTTAAAATGTTGACGTTTAACGTGTGAAGTTCTTATCGTATCTGATTTACTTTCAGGAATTCCACTGCAGCGGAAAACCTCAAAACGTACAAAATTTTGTAGCCTGGCACAATGCAAACCATAAAGTGTGTTGTAGTTGGCGATGGAGCTGTGGGAAAAACATGTTTATTGATTTCCTATACGACAAATAAATTTCCAAGTGAATATGTACCCACGGTAAGTTTACAATTAACATTACCTTTTCACCCATGCAATTAACTTTGCTAAGCGTCGGTACCATTATTTTGATAGCTGAAGCTTTTAAAGTGCCTACTTTTATAGCTGTTGTACATATTAACTTAAATGTCAAGATGCTACATTTAACCTAAATTTTATTTCGGCGCGAATGTATGGCGAGTGTATGTATGGGTTAACGTTCTGAATCAATTGAGCACATTTTCCCCCCGTGTACAGTAAACATTGAACGATCAAAACTGCATATTAGAATTTTGTGCGTGTTTGTGTACTCAAACGAAGTTTTCCATTAGTCAAATAAGAGAAGCTGTAAAAATTATTTTTAAGTTTTTAAGTGACGGTGTGTAAGTGATGTGTGCTGCCCGAGGGCCCATTTTTTATTATGTAGAGTAGAACTTTGATGCGGCGGTCACTTATTAATGAGTGGCTAAAAGCTATGGAGGATGAAAAACATATTGATTACAATTTTCTTGAGAGTGTTCCATATGTTAATGGTAAAACACTGGTACAATATAATTGCATAAGAGATCTTGCACCTTTCTGTGGACATTTTAACTCATCATTTGTTTGAGTGGGATGACCTCTTTATTATTTTTAATGGGTTGTGATAGAAAAATGATCACGGGATGAACCAGCCATTTTGGCTCTGTTCTCTAGGCAGGACATGTGTGTACATTCAGGTGATGGCTGTTCTTTTGACAAGTTCTGAATTGTGGTTTAAAAAGCACTAAGAGCATTTTACTCCAGCCAGGTTGAAGATAAAGAGATGCATATATGCTTCCAAGCTATTTTCATGTTAGCAGTGAAATTGTTGGAGTTACTGTTTTGCCAAAACCTTTCATGATGTCAGGGAAAATTAGAAACATATTTTGACGTGGCAGCTGTTTCCCTTAATGTTTTATTTTCCTGGACAGTAACACTAAATTAGATTTACAAAAGGGTGAAATATTTTGAGCACAGAACACCTGGAAAAGTTGGTTCCAGTGCAAGCTTTCAGTTACAGTAATGAATTAGGGATGTTCACGAACCATTGTAAAAGTTTCTGAGGATTGTTTGCTTATTTTCATCTGATAATTTTCAAGCTTTTTATTTTCAATATCCCCTCATCTTCAGTGGATACATTTCTTTTTACATGATGAGAAGCTGTGCAAAGAAATCTACATGCACATGAAATTATATCACTCCATTAGAGAGGCCTTGCAAAATTTTGAAGCACTTTCACAACAGAGAACTCCTTCTAGTAAAAGTGAAAGGGAAGCCTCAAAGTAATACTGCACTGTTTGTTTGTTTTTGTTGGGGTCTATTTTAGGTAAATTCTTCACTGGTGACCAAAGCACAAGATTTCAGTTTCCTGTCCAATGCCTCAGTGAGGTATAATACTAACTTATGGACTGCTTGTTTTGTATTTTTCCAGGTGTTTGATAACTATGCTGTTACAGTTATGATTGGTGGTGAGCCATATACATTAGGATTGTTTGACACAGCAGGTCAGTAACTCAGTAGTGTTCTTGTCAAACTACAAATGAAGCAAAACTTTCATTTGTTTAACAACCAGAAATGCAATTTATTTGAGTGATGTAATGCTTAAACTAAGTTTAGTCAAGTTGGTAAACCAACAGAAATCTTCAGTTACTTCTTTGTTTTCAACATAGTTATTTTTGCAACTGTGTTTGTGTTGAGAAGAGTTGTGAGAAGCCTGTAGGCAGCAAAAACCTGCTGGTTGTCAAACCATTTTGCTCTGGCTTCTTTGTGGTTTGTGTTCAAAGACACAAAAAAGTATTTTTCTACTGATTCTAACATTGATGCCTGGTTGAAAAAAAGTTACTCAAATCTCTGGCAGACTGTTGGAAATCACATCATGGAGAGTTTCAAATTTTTCAGCAGAACCCTCTCCCTGACCACTTAGGAGGGCATGTTGCTCTTAACACATCATGCCATCTAATTCAAAATCAAGTTTAATTCAATGCACCCCCTACTTAGTTCAAATCATAATCTATCAGATTTTCCAATAATAACCCTGGTTAACCTTGGTTTATGAAGGAGGGACAGGTGGCAACTGTGCTCATGTGCTGTGTAATTACTACATGAGTGGGTTTTGCCACCTGTTGTGTCTAGCCACATGCTCTTGGCATCTGGTAGGTTGGAACCAGTAGGTCTACTTGTATGTGATTGTTTTAGTAAAGTTTTTTCTTTGTGGTTGACAAAACGTTGATGTCTTTGTGGAGATTATATAGCTTCCTCTCAAAGTGCAGACATAATTGATGGTCACAAAAGATTCAGACAACATTTTAGGAGTCTTTGCACAAACTTGCCAATTTTTCTGATAATTTTGCCAAGCTAACTTTCTTTCCCACAAGACTGTCCCACAACTATTTAAAAACCAAATTGGCAATGACCTCCAATTTCCCTTAACTTTATGCTCAGCATTGATAACTCTTCATTTCTTTGTCTTGAATAGGTCAAGAAGATTATGATAGACTGAGGCCGTTATCCTACCCTCAGACAGACGTCTTTCTTGTGTGTTTTTCTGTAGTGTCACCTTCTTCATTTGAAAATGTTAAAGAAAAGGTCAGTGATATTGTTGTGTAGGAGGCAGACACTTTTCAGGCAGTAATCAGTGAAATTTTCTTGTTATGTTTGCAGTACTTCTTATAACCACCTAAAATTGCGTGCAGTTCTTAAAAATTCAACATGTTAAAGGATTGCTTTAACGCTTCAAAAATTTAATTTGCCTATTGTGCTCAGTAAACTGTAATGTTTGTTGGTTAGTGACTTACTCAGTGGATAGCTCTGTCTCACTTTTGTACTTCTAGGCTTTGGACTGGTTAAAGTTTTGTCACTCTCATTGGTCAATTTATTGGGTATCTGGTTTTATTGTGGCTATATGCCTGAGTAGCATCTCCCTTTTGAATCCTTTCCCTTTTGAATCCTTTAACCCTTGATCTGCATAGCATTGGTAAACCTTTATCTTATTGATGTTTTTATTTCTGTTTTAGTGGGTACCAGAGATTACTCATCACTGTCCAAAGACTCCTTTTCTTCTTGTTGGTACACAAGTTGACTTGCGGGATGATGCAGGAACAATAGAAAAATTATCTAAGAACAAGCAGAAACCCATAACAGTGGAGGGTGCAGAAAAGTTATCAAGAGAGCTTAGAGCAGTGAAATATGTGGAGTGCTCTGCATTAACGCAAAAAGGCTTGAAAAATGTGTTTGATGAGGCAATCTTAGCTGCCTTAGAACCTCCTGAGCAACCCAAGAAGAAAAAGTGTATTTTACTTTGAGAGAAAAATTGTGAAATTGGGACAGAAAACTTGTTAATGATCTTGATTCAGATGGACAAGATTTTGATTGTCCATACACAAGAGACAATACTTGTTCAGAACTGAAATTCTTGAAGTGTGGATAGAGTCTATTAAACAGAACAAAATAGCTGTATAGGGTTCTCCTAGCAAACAATTAAAGACGAACGGAATATGCTTTGTTTGCCAGAAATGTTTAGAGTAAGGTGAGAGAAGAATGGCTACTATGGCATGACCTCAATTTTTACAAGGGCTACTGGTTCCTTGATGGAATCTTTTGTTCAACTTCATTTAAATCTGCTTAACTGTTGATATAATAATATTTTATGCTGCTGATAAATAGTGATAACATGTCATTCTTAAGTAAGGACATAATTTTTTGTGGTCTTGTGGTTGGAAAGGATGAATGAAATCAGACAACCAGGGTACTATGTGAAAACCTTTAAAACATTCATAAAAGTTTATTCGGCTTTTTGCGCTATATGTACTTCTACAAGTAGGAAGAATTTGCAGAATCTCTTGCAAGGTCCATTAATTATTACTTTCTGATCAATAGTTAGTTGTTGACTAATTTCTGAAATGAGTTTGGTTCTCTTGCTGTTGCCCTATTGTAGGGCAATTTTCAGCTGGGTGTCAAAAGTTCGTCCAAAATATAATGCTACTGGTCTGAAAAATTTAGCCACCTCCTCAAGCAGTCAAGCCAAGACTAATAACCTGTTACCAATCTTTTACTAAGAGTTTTCAATGGCTGAATGTGATGTCGATCTTTGTTATGATTTCTCATCATGATTACTTTGGTTTTGGTTTTTATGACATTTGGTGGAAATGTGTACCATCATGAGATAAGAACTAGTAATTCTATATAACGTTTTTGTCTATAAAGGAGATGCTTTAATAATGCAATTAATGCTGCACTTTTGGAAATATTTGAGCAATGTTCCTAGTTATTGTGAAATATATTATTTTGACTTCTGACACATTGGAACTAGTGCAGTATGGTGTGATTTTCCTGATTAATTTAACAGTAAAAAGATTAGATTGTGAGCTTATGCCTTCTCTCAGAGAGAATGATTTAGAGTCTGCATCAAGCATAATTTGTTTTGTTAGAATTGCTACAAAGATTCTTAATACACAAAGAAAGCTACTTCCTTGTATTTCATACTTTTCTTTCTCCTTGAGGTCTGCAAGTGTAACTCTACTGCAATGAGAAGAAATTTGTCTTGCACAACTGAGTGTCCTCGTTAATTTATTGTCTTTGTACAGAGTCTATGTGTACAGAGATGATGTATTTCTGTTGTCAAGAGATATATATCATTAGGGATGACTGTCCTGTGGAAGAGTCTGAATTATCACTTCAATTTTCCTTTTACCCCTTACCATGAGCATTCATACTCCACAATGTACTAGTAACAGTTCCTATGGTACTTATGGTGACAAGGAGTATTTGTTTCACAATCAGGAGCTTTAAATTGGTGATCATTTCCTTTATTCTTATGACCCTAACTTTTAATTCAAGGGTGAAAATGTAAGGATAAGCTAGTAGCCAGACACCCTTAAGCTCAATTGTTGATGGATTAGTGAGGATTTGTGTAAACTCTAATCACTGCTGAACTTCATTCCACAGTACTTCCAGCCTTCTTTAAAATTCTTATTTATGACCAATGAACTTTAGAGGAAATTTGAACCATTCAACATTATTCTAGTTGGAGTTGTAAGACCCAACAAACACTAAGATTGGAGCTCAAGGGTGCAGTGTTTAACTTAAATGCTGTTGTGGTTGCATCATGTAAACACTGCTTGGATCCAACTGGAGAAGGGAATTTTTAAGTGCTCTAATGGAATGAGATGGGATTGATAGTATGATGTTTAGTGGAGTTGAGGATAATCCTATTTCCTTAAAAGGATTTTCCAATCAATAAATCTGGTTTTTGATGAACATGGGAATAATCCAAAGTTTTTCCCTGAAGAGCCGTATTCTCGAGTCTCAAGGCTGCTGTAATGAAGCTTTGGTAGTAAGGGGAAAGGGTTAGCTCGTTTTTGGGCGAGTTGGGGGTATGTAGGGATAGTTAAGTGTCAGGCACGAGATTAAGAGAGGAGTCGTTTAGTTTGAGGTTATTCGGAAGTGAAAAAGTGAGGCTTTTGTCATGGAACGTAGGAACTAGTCCCCGACAATTGCATGTCTGCACGGAGACTGCTGGTGCAGTGGCACTTACAGGGGCTGAAAAGACTCATGGGAGCAATGACAAAGCAATTTTAGTCATGCGCATTGACATTTTGTCCGCCATATTTTAGAACGAGAAGGTAGCTTTTGGTCGAAAATGCCGGATTATTTAGGAAAAGATCAAAGAAAAACCAAGAATGACGATGACAAAGAGGAGAAACCAATTCAAGGTACGTATTTCGTAGTACAATGAAACATTAAATGAAAGAAATCAAGTAAAAAGTGTGTTTCAGACAAAGTATATTCGTGAACTTTTTTTGTCATTCTTTTCTTCAGCACTCGATGAAGGAGATATCGAAATTCTAAAGACTTATGTAAGTTTTACAACTTATTACTATTATAGGAATTTATCCTGTTAAAACATAATTAAAGCAAATACAGGAAAACGAGATGAATTCCACAAGGCCTTGAAGTTTGAGTTAAGATCAATGTTTGCATGTGACCTTACGAATGTAAAGTGGGTCCGATGTATAATTAGAGTGAAAATTACCTTGGTCTTGGGGAGAAAAGAGATCGGGGCAGGAATAAAATGAATCATCAGAACCACTGAAGTTTCAAGAGGCTTGTTGAATTCGAAGCCCCAGCTCTGCTAAAAAATTTTTGAGTCTGTGATGAAGATTTGACAAGTACCAACTCTTAAAGTACCAGGAATTCTATGCTAGGTAGGCTATGAAGGGGAAATATGTCTCAAATAACAGCCATATTGAGGATATTTAGGGGGAAAGAGGAAAGAAACATGGTGATGTTTTATCTATAGTTTAGTAACTGGTTAGATCTCAACAATTAAAATTCATTTACCATGTATGAGAGGGATAAACGCTGACAAATTGAGACACCATTTAAGGTGATTTCCACCTCAAACCCTCTGTTAACCAGTTTGATGTTCCATTAAAGACCCACAAAGGATGAGAAAGGAAAGGAAAAAAAAATGAGATTTAGTAAATTATAGGATGTTAAACAAATTATCATCAACTTACTTTATTTTACAGGGTGCTGGATTGTACAGCAGGTCAATAAAAAAGGTTGAAGAGGGTATACAAGGAACATTAAAGAAAGTCAATGAATTGACAGGTAATATAATTGCAAATATAATATCCAAAATTTAAGCAGTAATTACAATAAGTGTATTTGATACTCTGTCATTTTGGTATCACAACCACTCTTGTGCCATGAAAACTTTGTCATTCCTTTCTATGTCATGTCACCTTTGTGACGTTGAAAGGAATGACAAAGATCAATCCAAACCAGTTGTAAAACATTCAAATCTCTCAAATAATTCAGAGCAACATATGGTAGTCTGCTGCCTTTCCATAAATTTAGCAAATTCAAAAAGCCACCAAACTCTTCTACAAAAAAAGTATCTTTTCGCATCAGCACTCAAAATCCACATGGCATCAATAGATGCTTTTCATTCCATTAACTTATTCTTATGTTTTCCATGGTATCATGTTTCCACCAATAGCATACCTCTGTTTTTCAGTATGTAAACCACACAACCCTGCAATTCCTCTGTGCACTCTAACAAAGGGCTCATGCTCTAAATATCAGCTTCAGAAATTCTTTACAAAGGCAAATTCACATTATCTACACAGTTGAAAAAACCAAATTAAACATGAACAAGATAGGTTCAAGAAAAAATTTTTAAAGAAACTGTGGTGCTGTGTCAGTGGGAGAGTATGACAGGGTAATCTAGTATTATCAACTGAGTTACTAACGTGAATTGGCCACCTTGAAGAGTTAAAAAGCTGACGTTTTGAGGGTTAGCCCTTTGTCAGAGTTATGTTGAAGCTCTGACAAAAGGCCAATGCTTTAGATGTCAGCTTTTAAACTCTTTATGGTGGCCAATTTACATTATCAACTTATTTGATAACACTAGGTTCACAAGAAAGTTGCTGTGTTAGTAATATTATCATAATGATGGTTGTTTGCTCTATGGTTTTGATTCATGTTTAGATGAGACAAAGTGTTTGTGGACCATGTAGTTTTAGTCAGGTTTTTTTTCATTAATGGTATGGTGTGTTGATGGAATACTAGCCTTACATGTAGTTACTTATGTTGCACAGGTATTAAAGAATCTGATACTGGCCTTGCTCCTCCTGCTTTGTGGGATTTGGCAGCAGATAAACAAACTCTCCAAGGAGAACAACCCTTGCAGGTACATTATATCATCTGAAAACTGTAATCCAAATTTCAAAGGAATCACAGTTTCAGTTCTTCTCATGTGTGCAATGATTAAGAACTGAGCAATTAAATACCAGAAGATTCTGGGTGTCTTGATCAGATGTTCAGTTTTTCCTGTGTTCAGGTCTGCTTCTCTGTACCATGTATCCTACCTGATTATGTTAAAAGTAAATGCTTTTTAAGTTAGATACTTTGTAACATGATAACATGTTTTTGAGCTTTTTATTTTATGCTTAAGAGCTCTTATGATTAGATATTCATTAAATATTTTTGTTCCTTATGCACTGATATCTTGACTTATTATTACTGTTTTGTCTGATCAGGTTGCAAGATGTACAAAGATAATCAATGCAGATACAGATGATGCCAAATATGTGATTAATGTCAAACAGTTTGCCAAGTTTGTTGTTGATCTAGGTGATCAAGTTGCTCCCACAGATATTGAAGAAGGAATGAGAGTTGGGTATGAATATTAAAAAGAATTGATTGATGTGTATCGCTGTCAATATTGTAAGTAGATTAACTTTAACTCTATAACTCTCATAAGCAACCAGAACAGAATTTCTCCTCAAAATATCTATACAATATCAAGCAGACAAGTGATGAGAATAAAGAAAAATATCAATTAGGGGATTAAAAGTTGATCCAATACCACATTCTCCAAACTAACATCAAGAGAACTGTATGGCAGAGAGTAAAATTCCTTCCTTTTGAAATACCTTCCATACAATGTGTTCCTTTCCTGGTGGTAAAATTCACTTCCATAGTACCTCTTATTATGGCCTAAAATGACTTGAAATTCTTGAAAATTCTTTTACCTGTGGTGATCAAAATAAGGGAGAACACTGTTCTTGTTTTCCAGTATATTTTGAGATTTTGAAATCAGACAAGTATTGTAAATTCATTTTTGAATATATCTCGCAAATGTTCTCTTGTGAATAAATCTTCCAAATTTTCTCTACAAGGAAGTGTTTCTTCTTTTAATAAAGTTGTGCTCCATGTAGCTTTTTCTGAATTGTCACTTTTACTCTCATTTCAGGGTTGACAGAAACAAGTACCAAATTCACATACCTCTGCCACCAAAGATTGACCCAACAGTGACTATGATGCAGGTAATAATGTCATGCTGTTATCAATCAGAAAGATTTACTTGGCAGGTTAACTCCAGAAAAGACTCTAAACTCCAAGACTTCACTATTTTTCTTCTTTGTAGGTTGAAGAGAAGCCAGATGTGACTTACTCAGATGTGGGAGGGTGCAAAGAACAGATTGAAAAGCTTAGAGAAGTTGTAGAAACTCCACTTCTGCATGTAAGGGATTTTATTTGTTTCTCCACATGTACTAGTATTCATTACACTTGGTTTTACTAATTGTAGCTGGCTCAATACAGGTAGCACTCTAAAAATATAACCTTTTTGTCTACCATTGCATGTAGAAAAATGTTTTGTCAACAAAATCTCATATAATGTGGTTGGTATTGAGCTGTAGGTTGTGTCATGATGCAGTATTTCACAGTTTGTGTTCTGCAGCCTTTCCCATGAACTAATATATTATTTCATGCAACCACTTTATGATCTTAGGTTGCCAAATGGTGTCCATGAATGAATTTGAGTTAAATGCCCTTTGGCAGGTTTCTATTACTGAAGAAACAACCTCCTTGTTCTGATTTATTTAATTATCTTAAGTGATGAATGAGTCCCACAAACAATACACAGACATCTTTACACCAACTCTAATAGACTAAATTAGCAGGCAAAGCCTGAGCAATGTCCTGATAGCTGGTTACAACTGTAAAAAGCATAATTACATGGAAATATACGTAAATAATGTTCCATGACATCAAGAGAATGTTTGTATAAACAAAACAACATGGCTGGCTCCTTTCTGAGCTGTTCAGTGGTACTAAGGCCTGGACGGGTTGCTGTACCCAAGTAAAGCAGTTAACTCTTCATTTACCATTTATGTTTTCTATAGTTACTGATGGATTTTCTTTCTTTCTTTAGCCTGAACGGTTTGTTAATCTAGGTATTGAACCACCCAAAGGGGTTCTCTTGTTTGGTCCTCCTGGAACAGGGAAAACATTGTGTGCCAGGGCTGTGGCCAACAGGACTGATGCTTGTTTTATCAGAGTAATTGGATCAGAACTGGTACAGAAATATGTGGGAGAGGTTTGTGATAATCTCTGTGAATTTTTTTAGGATTTCACTTTTTAGACATTTTTTCTTGTTTCTTTTCTGTGCTTTTGTTATCTTCACTCAAAGTAAGGCTTTGTGTTTTGTAGGGAGCAAGAATGGTGCGTGAGCTGTTTGAAATGGCAAGAACTAAGAAAGCATGCATTATTTTCTTTGATGAAATTGATGCTATTGGAGGTAATTTCTTTTTCATCTTTTCTGAAGAATGTGCAATTCAGTGTGAGGATAAAGCAGTTTATTCAGTCAAAATGTTGGAGAGTCCACAACTTTTTTAAAGTGAAGACATGATTAGTAAATTCTTACTAACAAGATTGTAACTGATTTCACTTGTAGGAGGGGATGTAGACAAATACTTCATAAAATATCTTTAAAATTATTTTTGGAACAATATTATCAATATTTGAATTGAACCAAAGAAATTTTGAGACCTTCCCAAGAGAAATGAATTAGGAGACTTGGCTTTCTGATTTGGAGGGTTTAAGGGTTGGGGAATAGGTTCCAAGGATAGCATTTTTTTTGTGTAAATTATGTATTACTAGTTCATGAACAATTTTTTAATTTTGGGGATTTCCCTTTACTCATTCCCCTTTGATAATTTGTGTTATTTTTCATTCCTCTCTGCTAGGAACTCGTTTTGATGATGGTGCTGGTGGTGATAATGAGGTTCAACGAACAATGTTGGAGCTTATAAACCAGCTGGATGGATTTGATCCCAGAGGAAACATCAAAGTTCTCATGGCAACAAATCGGTAATAACGATGGGAAATCACACAATTTTGAAATGCATTCTAAGTTTGGCTCATAGAGTTAGTTGTTTACAGCTTTCCATTTGTGTTAAATGCAGTTATTTTATTCCCATCCAGACCTGACACACTTGATCCTGCTTTAACCAGACCAGGAAGACTGGACAGAAAAATAGAATTTAGTCTTCCAGATTTGGAGGTACATTCACTTAAATTAATTTTATATGTTCTTCCTTATTTTAAGCATGGCAGGTTAAGAGATTTTCAAACCCATACACCAATCCTTTTACGTGTTGATTTTTTCAAGAATTCCAAAGGATTTTAGTCAGTAAGAAGAGGAACTGTGGGCTGTAAATTGAACTGATTATCTCCTGAAAAGGAGCACACTGCATGTTTACTTTGCCAAACTGAGGTGTGTCTATGATATAGGAGCCTGGATACAAGTCTCATGTGCTCTCTTCATGTCGTGCTCGTTTTTCAGGCACCCATGAGGCTAGGACAAGTATGCCTGTAAGAGAAATGGAGCATTTTCGTGAAGTTTCTGAATTTTTTTTCCAGGGACGAGCTCATATATTTAAAATCCATGCCCGATCCATGAGTGTAGAACGTGACATTCGCTATGAATTACTGGCAAGATTGTGCCCAAATACCACAGGTCAGTCACATTTTAATGTTATGGTCTCATTGCGACACAAGTTGTGGGTAGATTCCAAGCTACATTAGTGTCATATATTTAGCGTTTGTTAACATTGTTGTCTGATTTCCAGGTGCTGAAATTCGCAGTGTTTGTACAGAAGCAGGCATGTTCGCAATTCGTTCAAGGAGAAAAGTACGTAAGAATGCTAAACTTTTGTTTTAGTCCCCGTCTCTATGGGCTTGCTTTTTTTTCTTTCTGACGTTATTCAACCGATACACAGCTCGTGTAAATACGGGTTAGTGCCTAACCATTAACACCTTAACATCAGTATGCTTATTCTTCACACTGTTCTCCACACATTTCCCAATAATGATAATAATTACGTTTGTATAGCGCAGACCTCTATATGGATATATTCAGTTGCGCTTCACAATATTGTTAAAGTAAAGTTATGTTAAAAGTAACTAAAAACATGAGAAACTATTTGAAGGCTAAATTAAAAAAAAAAAGAGTTTTAACAGCAGTCTTGAAAGTGTCCCATATCTTTATGTTGCGAATTGTCGAATGAGAAACTATTTGAAGGCTAAATTAAAAAAAAAAAGAGTTTTAACAGCAGTCTTGAAAGTGTCCAATGTCTTTATGTTGCGAATTGTCGAAGGTAATGCATTTCAAAGATAAAGTGTAGCTGATTGGAATGCACGATCGCCAACGGGTCTTAGTACTAGGTGACTCGGGTAACAAAGACTTCTTAGACCTTCTTGAGTGCCGGATTGCAATTTGATCCTAATTAATTCAATTAAATAATTAGGAGCTGAACCATGTAAACACTTTAATGTCAAAAGTAGAATCTTAAACTTTATACGATAACTAATCGAGAGTCAATGAAAGTGAAAAAGCATTGGTGTAGCGTGACAGAATCTTGGTGTTCCCGTGACCAACCGAGCTGCGGCAATCTGTATTCGTTGGAGTTTCATGATATGTGAATTCGGGAGGCTATATAGTAGACTGTTATAATAATCTACTCTACTGGTTAAAAAGCATGAACTAATGATTCGGTGACTAGACGACTTACATATTTCCTAATTCTATGTATAGAAAGCAGATGAGCAAGTTTTGTAAATATGACTTAGCATACTCATTTCCGAGTCAAACCAGGTTCTTAGGTTTCGAACTTCACATGTTGGAACAATTTGGAAGCCGCTAACTGATAAGATACTGATGTTACTGACTTTCTGAAGTTGTTGTCGCGTTCCAATCCTAGGTGCTGACAAAGAGAATTAATTTTACAATCATTAGTTTCTTTAGTTGGTGATCATTTCCTTTATTATCGTGACCTTAATGTTTGTTGCACGAGTGTCATTGTAGGGAGAAATTAGATTTTAGTCACTTTTAGGTTTTAAAGGGTTCATTGGAGCATATCGTACCTCTAACAACTCGGCCAATGAGATAAAATGAATGGAGATAGGGAAACTATAGGTGATTCTGATACCATTCTCAACTTTTTATTAACGATTTGTTGTTGACAGGTTGCTACAGAAAAGGATTTCCTCGAGGCTGTGAATAAAGTCATCAAGGCTTACGCCAAGTTCAGTGCCACACCACGCTATATGACTTACAATTAGAAAAGAAGAAAACTGAGAAGAAACCAGCTAAAAAAATTTACATCAATGTTAGTCTCTAGTGAAGATATTAGCCGATTTCTCTCTCTCCACTCAGTGGAGCATTTTTGCAAACTGAATGTCATGTAGAGCTTTGTAAAGTTTATGTTTTGTTGTAAGGAGCTAGGAGAATTGTATATGTCACGCTCACTGTATGCGTTTGGTAAATAAAGTGCAAATGAACCATATAAAATGACGGCTTATTTGGAATCTTTTAGTGGCAATGCGTTTTGATAGAGATTCTATAGGTTGCTTGATTTCTATAACAAGTTGAGTGGCTCTGATAGTTGTATCTAATTCAAGAAAAGAAAAGTTCAGCAATGGAAACAAATTCAAGGAGGGATTAAGTATCAGTGTAAACCAACCCAGCTTTGAAATTTCAATAGGGAACTTGTATTGTCACTCCCACAATTTAATCTTTTATGAGTGATACCAAATAGGACCATAAACTGCTCTTTTTCTTGATTACAATGTAAGTGCAATCGGTACTAGCGCGATGCGCACATGTGCGCCATCTTGAATTATGAAATAACTGAGAAATCTTTTAAAAGAAATCGTTTGGCTTTTCTATCGGTTTACTTGCGTAATACCCACTCGAGGTGTTATTACACCAGTAAACCGATAGAAAGTGCTGTCTATTGCTCAGTTGATAGGGGCTTTAAATGTAACAGTATTACGTTGACGTTAATATTATAATATTAATAATATTTTAAGAAGATTCTTTCTAAAGAGACCAGCAGTTGCCCCCTTGATAAGACTGCAAGCTCTTGGAGTGAAAAAAGATTAAATAGTTCCGTAACAAAACAAAGGAAGAAGCGAACCCTTTTAAAGGGATCGATTCTTCAGCGATCAGCAGCATTTGTCAATAAGGGATATAAAACGAAAGCGGAAATTTCGATTCAAGCAGAGACTGTCTTGAGCCCGGAACGCGATTGTTCATGAAATATGGAACTGGCATTCACGGCATTCACGATCGCCTGCATCTCACACGAGCAGAGATTCTGATTAATTTTAATAATAGACGACAATGTCTTGAGAAGGGTGTTTTCGTGAAAGTCTCGCGATCCGGTTATCCGGCATTCCACAAGAAGTCCAAGTCCAGAGTCTACCCTTGCAGTAAAATCAGGTGTGGCCGCGGGCAGTTCTAGTGTCAGATTACTGGGTCCGAGCGTTGTCACAGGAAGCAAAATTGCCCTTATTTGTCGAAATTTTAGTAAGCTCTAATTTGGTTAATGGATTCTTTTATTAGCCGTACGCATATCCTAACAGAATAGCTCCTCTATGGTTTCTATGCTGTGAGAGATCTTTCAAAATACTTTGAAATCTCGTCTTACACCATAATTTATCGTGGCAGGCGGTTCGAAGTAAGAAAGCATCATGGCTTCCCTTCTAATTCTTTCTTCCCCGTGATATTCCGTCGTGGATGCATGTGTGATGGTAAGGCGAACTTAATTTTTTCTGTTGATCATTTAAATTTCACTGATGATTTTGTTTCCGTCAAGTTATGTCTACGGCTTGCGGGCGTTTGGTTTTAAAAGCACGCATCATCTAATGAGTTTGATTTGCTCGGTCATGTTCAAATGATATAAATGTAGAAGTCAAAACTTACTTAATGATAAATTGTCAATTATGATTATTGCTATTATAGATGTAATGGAGAGGGCACTTAACGACCTTTTAACTCAGACTGGAGGAGTAATCGGGTCAATCAGAGACGAACAGCTGAATTTTGGGAAAGATATTTTTATTACCCCACACACTATTCCAAAATAAAATCTCGGTCCTAAAGGCCATCTGTTGTCTTGTTATATATTATGCATGCAGTTCTTGGGTGGAACAAAACAAAGTATGTGTTTATTTGGAAATCTTAGCTAATTTTATTTCCTGATCATACAGTGCTGAAATTTCACCCTTATTATTGTTCCTATGGAAAATTTATGCTGCATTACTGAGATAGATGAGGCACAAGCTTTCTCTTTTTAGCTAAAGTCCAGTTTGCAGAGTATGGCAATACTAAACAAGATTTCATGCATGCAAAGATGACTCTGCAGGGTGAAATGTATGTTAAGGAAGGAAAACGTGGGGTGTGTATCTGCCTTACTCTGCAAACAGGGTTAGGGGTAGACTTAATCACCAGCTGCAGTCTGGGAAAATAAGCCTGTGCTCTTAGCCTTGAGAGACAGAAATCAAGCTTACACTTGATTGTTGTATGTGAAATCTTCTCTAAATTTTGCTGAGATCTTGGTTATAGAATATTAGATCCTGTTAGCTTTGTAGTGCACCATCTAATTGGGAAACATTAAAATTTGAGCTGAGATTCCGGAAACCAAACCAACCAGTTTTAGCAAGCTGATATAACAGGACCCTTTGGCTGAGTTACAACCTGGAATTTAGTAGTTAAGTATAATTGCTCAGTTAATTATAGAGATGCACACACTCTGATTGGTCAAGGATTACATCATATCTTGCTGTAGTCACTTGGCAAAAAGTGATTATAGCAGGAGCGCTAAATTTCAAAATGACTGACTTACATTTTGTCACTGTTTCTGAGGAAGTGATAAACATAATAGAAGAAAAGAAGATGCTAGAAGATTTGCAGAAAACTTTGTCTTTGGGATCAATCAACAATATTCACTCCACCTCTGGCAAATAATTGTTTAACATTATAGAAACATAACTTGCAATGTCATTGCATAAATTTGCACCAATGATAAAAATCTTCAGTTCAGTGTCAGTTTCTTAGCAACTGTGCACCAACCTCCCTCCCTAATCCAAAGTTGGCCCTTACTTGTTATCAATCGGCTGTTGTTGGTTTAGGAGAGGGGTTGGTGCACAATTGCTGAAATAATGGCATCAATCCCAAATTTCTAGGCTCGTCAACTTTACAAATATTTGAAAAGGCAGTGAGCATAACTCTGGTACCATCCTAAGTCATTTAGCTTATAGTAACAGAAGCATATGACTCAGAGGTGACTATAATACAAGCCTTTGATAATAATTTTACAGCTTTTTTTTAATGTCATGGGAAAATTTGTTAAGGATTAGTGTCTTCCTTTACCCTTTAACTCCCAAATGTGATTATCATGTAACTTCTCCTTACAAAATTGATACGTTATCCAGCCAACTAGTAATGAGAATAATCAAACCTATCAGGTGGAAGTTGATAGCTTGATCCAACACCAACTTCTTGTAACTAATTCACAAAGAAATTTTTGTAGCAGCTAGAGGGGAGAATTAACAATCACATCTTGGAATTTGAAGAACAGGATAGCCAGGGGTAGAATTTGCACTCCTTGGCCTGGCTTTTAGAGTTTTATGTGGCCTCCATCATCATCATCATCATAATAATAATAATAATAATAATAATAATAATAATAGCTCAGTAATGTTTCAAACCTAATGTATTTTATAAGATTTAGTAGACCTGAGCTAGTAGCCAAGAAAGAAAAAAACCGTTCCATATTGAGACACATGTAATCCTCTTAAGAAAATTGTACATAATGGATAGTTAAATGTTAAATTTCTCAGCAAGTAAATAGTTTGGTGTTTGAATCAGAACTGTTCCAAAGTCAAAACTTTATGCTAAGCTAGAGGGAAAGACTGGCTGGGCCCTTCCATTCCTTTAACGATTTCTACTTGGTTGAACATGTTTTTCTGTTGGCTCACAAGAAGAGGAGAGTGTATTGCTAATTCTTTACTCAGTGAACCTGGCATAGATTGATTCACTACATATGTCCCACAAATTCAAACTATCATTTGTCAAATATTGACAAGGGGTAATGGGGGGGATTGGTTGTAAGGGGTGTGGTCAAAAAGGTGGTTAATATTGTCCCTTTTTTTATTGAAAGCAAACTGTGACAAAAGAGAAAAAAAGCAACATGCAGCAAAGATCAGTCATTGGTTTCCACTCAGTTACCTCTGTCTGCATGGGGTGGCACTTTTCTGTTGATAGAGCAGTGCTGTTTAATTTTTCGTCCATAACACTTTGTCCCTCTCCAGCAACAAATATTCAATCCTGTAACCTGAGGGTAGCTCTTTGTGCAGTGAGTTTTAACATTATGCAGTGTAGGAGACTATTTAATTTTTTTTTAATTTCAACTTTCTCTTACAACAGTATTTTACTATTTTTCAACAAACTCTTCATATGGAAAATCCCAGTCATAACATAAATAAGATAATGATCACCTGTTCACCAAAATGAAGGTGACTATTTGTTTTAGTTAAAACACAGAGATAATGTAGTACATAAAGATGATTTGAACTCATTCATTCCTGCAATTATTACAATGTATTGTTGGGGAGGGGGGGAAGGGAACAAATCCTGCGCAAGTTGCTTGAAGGCAAGTTGTGAAGGATATTTGGAGTTTGAGTTCCCAATCAGAGCGCATCTTCAACGGTACCTACTGATGTAATATACACTTATTACTGTTATCTTGCCCCTTGCAGTCTGCCACTTCATCATTCCATATCCCCATCCCACCCACCCCCCCCCCTCCTTTCAACATCAAAATACTTCATCACAGACATTCAAGAGTAAATGGGGTTAAGGTATGGGTTTTAAAAAAAATAATCATTTTTCTAATGATTTTTTTCTTGTTTTGAAGGTGGAACTTGTGGAAGGAAGTAGAACTTGACAATGAGAACAGTCAAATGTGTGATAGTCGGAGACGAAGATGTGGACAAGAGAGAGTTGTTCTTACAGTACACTGCCTTGTTAAATGCCGAGGCGGAAACAGCCAGCGCGATTGAAGAAGATGGATCTAACAATGACGTTAGCAGGATGGGTATCTCCTCGGAGGGCAAAGAGCAGCAAGAAGTCTTCGTAGACGGAGATAAAGATGTAGAGGGCGAGGACGGTTCTAACAAAAGTCATCCGCATTTTCAAGTGATTCACCTCAGCTCCGAGAAAGAGAGTATATCAAGCGTGGAATCTCTCCAGGACTCCATCGACCATTGGTCAGGCGTGGTTACCGTGCTTGGCAAGCATTACCTATTAGATCTTCGCGATGCTCATTGCGAAAACGCCTATGATAATATTAGACCAGATATGTACTCTGACACGGACGTTTTTCTGGTTTGTTTCTCAGTCGTTCGCTCCATCTCGTGGGAGAACGCTCTGAACAAATGGATTCCTGAAATTCAAAAGCACTGCCCTGTGATTCCTTTCATATTAGTCGGCACTCAGACGGAATG